AAACAAGGGGGTTGACCGCTCCCTGTAGCTCGCACCAGTTAGTAGTCTGGCTGCCGCTCGTTGGACCAGATGGAATTTCCGGGCTGTCTCCAAGGGCAGCCCCACGTAGAGCGCATTGCAGTAGTCCAATTTAGAGGTAACAAAGGCATGGGCCACTGTGGCCAAATCCGACTTCATGAGGTACGGTCGCAACTGGCGCACGAGCTTAGAGAATCATAGAATCAAAGAGTTGGAAGAGACCTCATGGGCCATCTAGTGCAACCTTCCAAAGAAGGAGCCTCCACCACACCCCTCCAGGGCAGAGAGTTTCACTGCTGAACGGCTCTCACAGTCAGGAAGTTCTTCCTCATGTTCAGGTGGAATCTCCTTTCTTGTATTTGAAGCCATTGTTGCACGTCCTAGTCTCCAAGGAAGCAGAGAACAAGCTTGCTTCCTCCTCCTCCCTGTGGCTTCCTTTCACATATTTATACATGGCTATCATATCTCCTCTCAGCCTTCTCTTCTTCAGGCTAAACAGGCCCAGCTCCTTAAGCCGCTCCTCATAGGGCTTGTTCAAATGTGCGAAGGCCCTCCCAGCCACTGCCGACGCCTGAGCTTCAAGCGTTAGCGCTGAATCTAGTATTTATTAGTATTTATACCAGGCATGGGCAAACTTTGGCCAGTAGGCTGCTAGGAATTGTGGGAATTGAAGTCCAAAACACCTAGAGGACCGAAGTTTCCCCATACCTGGTCTTAAAGGTTCTACTGTGTTCATCCAGCAGTGCCACTTTTCCAACTTATACAAAAATACGACAACTTTTTAGTATAGTTTTTAAAGTTTTTGTCTAATTTTAGCCTTAATTTTGGTGAGTCCTTGTCTCAAAACCTGAAAAGGTTTGTTTAGCGCCAAACATGAAGTGCCTGCTGTCTCCGGCATCCAGACCCCTTCTTCTGCTGAGCAGATCTCTGGCTTCTGCGTCCAGATCCGCAGTACACGCTAGACACACAAAGGCTGCCTGTTTCCAGGGGCTTCGGCCCAGTCTGATAAGGAAATCTCGATGCCGTCATGCGGGGTTTGCATGAAAGAGGTCCCACATTGCTCAGCTATGCATTGTGTGGGCTGGGAATGGAGGTCAGTTTGTGCATATTAAGCATTTCGCGGCTGACGCAGAGAAGAGGGGTCTTAGAAAGAAGCCATCCCCTTGTCCCTGCGTCCCATTGAAAAGGCAGCATATTCCCACATGGAAGAATAATCCACGAGGAAGAAGGCCAAGCCATGTATTCAAGTCCAGTTTTCTGGGCAAGATGTCTCTGACTTTCATCTGTTTCTCAAAAAGGAGCTGCGACTCATAAAAGGTTTGAGATTCTGAGGGTTGTCAGCATTGTATTTATTTATTTACTAGCTGTCCCCTGCCAGGTGTTGCTGTGGCCCAGTCTGGTGGTCTGGAAAATAAAGTAATGAGAAAGTGTTGGTTTCTAATATATGTATTTTCTTTCTTCTTGTGAGTAAACAGTATTTCTTGTTGTTTCTTTGTCAGTGTTGATGTGGAGAGCTGGGCATGTTTAGCCTGAAGAAGAGAAGGATGAGAGGAGATATGATAGCCATGTATAAATATGTGAGAGGAAGCCACAGGGAGGAGGGAGCAAGCTTGTTTTTTGCTTCTCTGGAGACTAGGACGCGAAACAATGGCTTCAAACTAAAAGAAAGGAGATTCCATCTGAACATGAGGAAGAACTGCCTGACTGTGAGAGCCGTTCAGCAGTGGAACTCTCTGCCCGGAGTGTGGTGGAGGCTCCTTCTTTGGAAGCTTTTAAACAGAGGCTGGATGGCCATCTGTCAGGGGTGATTTGAATGCAATATTCCTGCTTCTTGGCAGAATGGGGTTGGACTGGATGGCCCATGAAGTCTCTTCCAACTCTTTGATTCTATGATTCCATGCTTTTCTCCACCCCTTTTCTGTTTTCTAGAGCAGCGGTTCTCACTCAACCTGTGGGTCTCCAGGTGTCTTGCCCTACAACTCCTAGAAATCCCAGGCAGTTTACCAGCTGTTAGGATTTTTGGGAGTTGAAGGCCAAAACATCTGGGGACTCAGGTTGAGAATGAGCCTCCTTCATGAGAGCCATAGAGACAGAGCTGGTTGGAAAGTTCCCAACAACAAAAGGCAGAGGAGTAAAAACATAGGTTCACACGCATCTTCTCTCTGTTAAAAAAGGCTTTTAGTATGTTGGTTTTGTCCATGAGAAGGTTGTCTAGCGTAGGATGGACGATAGCCCTGAGGCTAGAAAGCTTGAAAGGTTTTCCTTTCTCCCTTTTTTGACTACCAATGTTCTCTAGTTGGTGTTTTGGGCTTTTATTTACAACAACAACAACAACAACTAATCTTCCCCTGCCATGCATTGCTGTGGCCCAGTCTGTATATATGTGTATATGTGTGTGTATATTTCCTTCTAACTATGCCTGATGTAGAATCGTAGAGATGGAAGAGACTAAGAGCGATCCATTCAAACCCCCTTGTGCCATGCAGGAAAATACAATAAAAATATCTCATACTAGCCGTCCCCTGCCATGCTTTGCTGTGGCCCAGTCTGGTGATCTGGAAAGTAAAGTAATGAGAAAGCGTTGGTTTCTAATGTATGCAATTCCTTTATGCTTGTGGGTAAACAGTATTTTTTATTGTTTCTTTGACAGTGTTGATGTGGAGATTATCTGGTTTGCCTACTCTGGAACAGGCAACATATCATTGTCCTTCTTTAGGGGTCCCTTTCAAATCTATGATACTATATGTGTGTGTGAATAATATCTATCTATATCTATGGCTGGATGGCTCTCTGTCAGGAGGGCTTTGATTACGTTTTCTTGCCCTGGTGAAGGGAGTTGGACTGGATGGCCTTAAGTATTTTCTGTCGGTCATGGGGGTTCTGTGTGGGAAGTTTATCCCAATTCTGTCGTTGATGAGGTTCATAATGCTCTATGATTGTAGGTGAACTATAAATCCCAGTAACTACAACTCCCAAATGCCAAGGTCTATTTCCTCCAAACTCCATCTGTGTTCATATTTGGGCATATGGAATTTTTGTGTCAAGTTTGGTCCAGATCCATCATTGTTTGAGTCCACAGTGCTCTCTGGATGTAGGTGAACTACAACTCCCAAACTCAAGGTCAATGCCCACCAAACCCTTCCAGTGTGTTCTGTTGGTCATGGAAGTCCTGTATGCCATGTTTGGTTGAATTCCATCATTGGTGGAGTTCAGAATGCTCTTTGATTGTAGGTGAACTATAAATCCCAGCAACTACAACTCCCAAATGTCAAAGTCTATTTCCCTTAAACTCCATCTGTGTTCATATTTGGGCATATGGAATATTCGTGCCTAAGTTGGTCCAGATCCGGTGAATTATTTCCTCCTCTCTTCACGTCTTCCTGGAGCTGCAGCTGTTAAGTCGTTACAAAACACTGCAGAGTCTTTATCTGTCGTTAGCAGAGATTTATAGCACAGCCTTTGACCTTGTTTGCTGCCTGCTCACCGTTTGAATAAGACACTTGAGTTCTGGCTTTCATCCACACTCCTTTTGGAGGAGTTATTCTTGATTTGTTGTTATATGTGTTAACTATTTACATCAAGTCTGCTATCAGTATATATGGAGATATACTCACAACAACACAACAAGAAGCGATGACTGTATCAAGACATGCACATGGCAATGAGACCGTATTCCAAGGGAGCACACACGTATCGGCCACTTGCTTTCATACCCACAGGGACTATAGGGAAATGATACAATTCTTGTCATGCCTGTCACATGGTCATGATTCATCTGTTGCTCTAGATTCACATCTCCACTGGCTTAACCTTTCAGTGGAAAGAGCTATGACCACATGTCCATTCGAACTGTATTTCCCACACACTGGAGTTATAAACACATGTCTATCTAGCACAACATTATCTACCTGAAAGACTACTACCTAAAAACTATGGAAACCCATGGACGTCTCCACATCTTTTAGCAAGATGGGAGTCATAAAGCCCTTCAGATATTCATTCATTGAAATATTATATCCTGCCCACCACCTAAAGGCCTCTGGTTCCATGTTCAACATCTACACAAATGACCAGCCACTGCCAGAAGGGACAGAGAGTTTCATCTATGCTGATGATCGTGCCATTACCGCTCAAGCAGGGAGCTTTGAGATGGTTGAACAGAAGCTCTCCAAAGCTCTAGGTGCTCTTACTGCCTATTACAGGGAAAACCAACTGATCCCTAATCCATCTAAAACACAGACATGTGCCTTTCACCTTAAGAACAGACAAGCATCCCGAGCTCTGAGGATTATTACCTGGGAAGGAATCCCACTGGAGCATTGCAGCGCACCCAAATACCTGGGAGTCACTCTGGACCGTGCTCTGACCTACAAGAAGCACTGCCTGAACATCAAGCAAAAAGTGGGTGCTAGAAACAATATCATACGAAAGCTGACTGGCACAACCCGGGGATCACAACCAGACACAGTGAAGACATCTGCCCTTGCGCTATGCTACTCTGCTGCTGAGTACACGTGCCCAGTGTGGAACACATCTCACCACACTAAAACAGTGGATGTGGCTCTTAATGAGACATGCCGCATTATCACTGGGTGTCTGCGCCCTACACCACTGGAGAAATTACACTGCTTAGCCGGTATTGCACCACCTGACATCCGCCGGGAAGTAGCAGCCAATAGTGAAAGGACCAAGGCAGAGACATCTCCAGCTCATCCCCTGTTTGGGTATCAGCCAGCACGCCAACGACTTAAATCAAGACATAGTTTTCTTAGATCTACAGAGACACTCGCTGGAACACCTCAGCAAGCGAGAGTTCAAAAGTGGCAGGCTCAAACCCAGCACCTCAATCCGTGGGTGATACCAGATGAGAGACTCCCCCCTGGGCACACAGAAGACTGGGTGACTTGGAAGGCGCTGAACAGACTGCGCTCTGGCACCACAAGATGCAGAGCCAATCTTAAGAAATGGGGCTACAAAGTTGAATCCACGACATGCGAGTGTGGAGAAGAGCAAACCACTGACCACCTGCTGCAATGCAACCTGAGCCCTGCCACATGCACAAGGGAGGACCTTCTTGCGGCAACACCAGAGGCACTCCAAGTGGCCAGATACTGGTCAAAGGACATTTAATCAACTACCAAGTTTGCAAAATTTGTGTTTTTTTATCTGTTTGTTTGTTTTGTTCTGTTAGAAATGTAATACAATGTTCTGGTTGCGGATGACACGATAAATAAACCTAAAGGCCTGATTTGCTCCAGGACACATTCATTGGTGGTCTTGGAGGCTCTGACTAATGGCCATCCAAGGAGGGAGCTCCAAGAACCCCGAAGCCGGCTCTTCTCCGCTCTTGGGCCAGCGCAAGTGAGGTCATAGTTCTCCTTTGTGATGACAGCTTGAGCCTCAAGTTCCACATTGCTCCCACATCTTACAGGTTGACCTTGTGGGTCAGCAGTTTGAGGATCTCTTGGAGAAACATGTCGAGCAGAAGCAAGTCGGGAGGCATTCCTAGTCCTCCAAGGGCCAAAAGCACGGGGGCTTTATCTTCCAAACACTCAAGGTCCAGACTCAGCCGAGCAAGAACAAGGACACGTTCCTCTGAACATGCCTTGGTCCAACCATCCAGATCCTGGACTTCTTGGGTGAGGTCAGAAACTCCAGAACAACATTCTCAAAGAGCGGTGGTCATCGATACTGGGACCGGGGCATGTAAAGCCGGGTTTGCGGGTCAAGAGATTCCCCAAGTGTCCATCAGAACATTTATTGGACATCTAACAGGGAAGACTTGGCCGGATATATTGAAGGGAGAGGTGGACATCAGTTTGCCAGTAAGGCACGGGGTCATTGTCGATTGGGAGGCTGCCGATTTCCTTTGGAAGCAACTCTTCTCGGAGCTGAACGCCTTACCGGAAGAACACGCACTCCTCATGTCCGACCCTCCGCTGTGTCCAATCACCAACCGAGAGAAGCTGGTAGAGGTGGTCTTCGAGTCTCTTAACTCCCCAGCCATGTATGTAGCCTGCCAGTCGGTGCTGTCTGTCTACGCCCACGGCAAGACCAGCGGCTTGGTGGTTGAAACGGGCTATGCCACAACCCACACAGTGCCCGTTTACCAGGGCTACAACCTCCCGCATGAGACGGAAAGGATGGACATCGCCGGGAGCAACATGACGTCCTATTTGATGGACCTCCTGAAGGACAAGGGGTACTACTTGGACGACCAGATGTTGGAAGACATCAAGCACAAGTGCTGTTACGTTGCTCTCAATTCTGAGGCCGAAACAGAATCCCCAGCAAGCTACCAACTGCCTGATGGACATGTCATCACTTTGGGGAAAGAGCGGTTCCAGTGTCCGGAGCTACTGTTCCACCCACCGCAGACCCCAGGGCTTTCTCTTGTGGGCATCCACGACATGGCCCTACGGAGCTTGAGGAAGGTCCCCGAAGAGTGCAAGAAGGACATGTATGAGAACATCCTCTTGTGCGGAGGTTCGTCCCTCTTCGAAGGCTTCGAAGAGAGGCTCACGCGTGACATCATGACAGGCGAGACCACTAATGCCAAAGTAAAAGTGGCCGCCATTCCGTTGCGGCAGTACTCCGTCTGGACTGGAGGCTCTCTTCTGGCCTCCTTGACAAACTTCCAGACGTGTTGGGTCTGGAAGGAGCACTACAATGAACACGGCCCATGCATTGTCTACAAGAAATGCTACTGAGATTAAAAGGATGGGGGAAAAGGAGCTGGAAATAAAACTCATATATGTTTACAGAAACTTGGAATGTGGCTTGAAGTTATTGTCGTTCAGCTTATGGCAAAGGAAAGCCTCCAAGATATCACCCCTGCCCTTGTAAACCCAGAATTGGGGTTTCTTCATCCTCTCCATCTCATAGAATCAAAGAGTTGGAAGAGACCTCATGGGTCATCCAGTCCAACCCCATTCTGCCAAGAAGCAGGAATATTGCATTCAAATCACCCCTGACAGATGGCCATCCAGCCTCTGTTTAAAAGCTTCCAAAAAAAGAGCCTCCACCACACTCCCTCCGGGGCAGAGAGTTCCACTGCTGAACGGCTCTCACAGTCAGGAAGTTCTTCCTCATGTTCAGATGGAATCTCCTCTCTTGTAGTTTGAAGCTATGGCTCCATTGCGTCCTAGTCTCCAAGGAAGCAGAAAGGAAGCTTGCTCCCTGTGGCTTCCTCTCACCTATTGATACATGGCTATCATATCTCCTCTCAACCTTCTCTTCTTCAGGCTAAACATGCCCAGCTCCTTAAGCCGCTCCTCATAGGGCTTGTTCTCCAGACATTGATCATTTCAGTCGCCCTCCTCTGGACACATTCCAGCTTGTCAATATCTCTCTTCAATTGTGGTGCCCAGAATTGGACACAATATTCCAGATGTGATCTAACCAAAGTGGAATAGAGGGGTAGCATGACTTCCCTAGATCTAGACACTATGCCCCTATGGATGCAGGCCAAAATCCCATTGGTTTTTTTTACCGCCACATCACATTGTTGGCTCATGTTTAACTTGTTGTCCACGAGGACTCCAAGATCTTTTTCACACGTCCTGCTTTCGAGCCAGGCATTGTCCCCCATTCTGTATCTTTGCATTTCGTTTTTCCTGCCTAAGTGGAGTATCTTGCATTTGTCACTGTTGAACTTCATTTTGTTAGTTTTGGCCCATCTCTCTAATCTGTCAAGATCGTTTTGAATCCTGCTCCTGTCCTCTGGAGTATTGGCTCTCCCTCCCAATTTGGTGTCGTCTGCAAACTTGATGATCCTGCCTTCTGGCCCTTCATCTAAGTCATTAATAAAGATGTTGAACAGGACCGGGCCCAGGACGGAACCCTGCGGCACTCCACTCGTCACTTCTTTCCAGGATGAAGAGGAAGCCTTTGGGAGAATCACCCTCTGGGTTCGTCCATTTAACCAATTCCAGATCCACCTCACCGTAGTTTTGCCTCGCCCACATTGGACTAGTTTCCTTGCCAGAAGGTCGTGGGGGACCTTGTCAAAGAAGGCCTTCCTGAAATCCAGGTACGCCACATCCACGGCATTCCCCGCATCTACCCAGCTTGTAACTCTATCGAAAAAAGAGATCAGATTAGTCTGGCATGACTTGTTTTTGATAAATCCATGTTGACTATTAGCAATGACCGTATTTGTTTCTAAGTGTTTGCAGACCACTTCCTTAACAATCTTTTCCAGAATCTTGCCTGGTATCGACGTGAGGCTGACCGGACATTGGTAATTGTTTGGGTCATCCTTTTTTCCCTTCTCTAATCCTACCTCTTCTCCTTCTTCCAACTTTACTGTTATTGCCTTTTCCAATGAGTTTTGTCTAATCAATCCCATGTCCAAAGAATGTAAGTCACCTTGGCTTCTAGGGAGATTTTGGTCTTGATTCATTCTGGCCCATCTGTGAAATCTGCACATATGGGTCTCCTGCACAGCTAAATTCGGAACTCTCCAGAATATGAATATATATAATTACTGTATTATTATTAGTATTAGGAGCCCCCGGTGGCGCAGTGGGTTAAACCCCTGTGCTGGCAGGACTGAAGGTCGCAGGTTCGAATCTGGTGAGAGGCGGATGAGCTCCCTCTGTTAGCTCCAGCTCCCCAAGCGGGGAAATGAGAGAAGCCTCCCACAAGGATGATAAAAACATCAAATCATCCAGGCGTCCCCTGGGCAACATCCTTGCAGACGGCCAATTCTCTCACACCAGAAGCGACTTGCAGTTTCCCAAGTTGCTCCTGACACGACAAAAAAAAAATTAGTATTGCATTGTATTACATTATAACATTATTATCAACATTATATGTGCATGCAACATTATATGTGCATGCAATATATTTTATTATTAGCACAGCACAATATTGGTATTATATATTACAATATTGTACTATACCATACATGTAATATGAAATATTTAATTATTATAGTATTTTATATAATTATTATATTGTATTACATTATAACATAGAATCATAGAATCAAAGAGTTAGAAGAGACCTCATGGGCCATCCAGTCCAACCCCCTGCCAAGAAGCAGGAATATGCATTCAAAGCACCCCTGACAGATGGCCATCCAGCCTCTGTTTAAAAGCTTCCAAAGAAGGAGCCTCCACCACACTCCGGGGCAGAGAGTTCCACTGCTGAACGGCTCTCACAGTCAGGAAGTTCTTCCTCGTGTTCAGATGGAATCTCGTTCTCTTGTAGTTTGAAGCCATTGTTCCACGTCCTAGTCTCCAAGGAAGCAGAAAACAAGCTTCCTTCCTTTATATATAATCAACATTATATGTGTATGCAATATATTATTATTAGCAAGCACAATATTATTATTATATATTGATTGCTATATTGTATTATACCACTATACTGTAATATTATTAGTAATATTACATGTAATATGAAATATATACTTATTATATTGTATTATTAGTATTATATTGTATTACATTATAACATTATTATCAACATTATATGTGTATGCAATATATTATTAGCACAATATTAGTATTATTAGTATTATATATTACTATATTGTATTATACCATATTAGTAATATTACATGTAATACGAAATATATAATTATTATATTGTATTATTAGTATTATATTGTATTACATTATAGTATTATTATTATTAATATTATATATTACTATATTGTACTATACCACCATGCTGTAATATTATGAGTAATATTACATGTAATATGAAATATATCATTATTATATTGTATTAGTATTATATTGTATTACATTATAACATTATTGTCAGCATTATATGTGTATGCAATATATTATATTATTAGCACAGCACAATGTTAGTATTATATATTACTATATTGTACTATAAATAATATTGTACTATACCACTATACTGTAATATTATTAGTAAAATTACATATAATATGAAATGCATTGTCGAAGGCTTTCATGGCCAGAATCACTGGGTTGTTGTGTGTTTTCCGGGCTGTCTGGCCATGTTGCAGCAGCATTCTCTCCTGATGTTTGGCCTGGATCAATGGCAAGCATCCTCAGGTTGTAGGTGTTTTGGGCTGTATGGCCATGTTCTAGAAGCATTCTCTCCTGACATTTCGCCTGGATCTATGGCAGGCATTCTCAGAAGTTGTGAGGTTCTCTGAGGATGCCTGCCATAGATGCAGGCGAAACGTCACAAGGGAATGCTTCGGGAACATGACCATACAGCCTGGAAAACACACAGTAACCCAAATTTGATAGAAGGGTCTCATGTCTCAGTCTGGCCATGTTCCAGGAGCATTCTCTCCTGACGTTTTGCCTGCATCTATGGCAAGCATCCTTAGGTTGTAGGTGTTTTGGGCTGTATGGCCATGTTCTAGAAGCATTCTCTCCTGACGTTTCGCCTCCATTTATGGCAGGCATCCTCAAAGGTTATGAGGTCCTCTGTGGATGCCTGCCATTGATGAAGGCGAAACGGCAGAAGAGAATCCTTCGGGAACATGACCATACAGCCCAGAAAACACACAACAACCCAAACTTTGATAGAAGGGTCTCATGTCTGTGTTGAAGAGAGAAGCCTCAAACGAAAAGAATAAAGCATCAATGACTCTCGGGAATCGGTGTGTGTGCTCGAGCACGATGTGTGACCTCTTCGTGGAGGCAAGAAACAAATCAACTTGGCGAATGGTTTTATATGTATTTTAATCTTATATGTATTTTAACCTAGTGTTTTATGGATGTTGTTTTAAATTGTTATTTATTGTTTGCATTGGATTCTTGCTGTTAGTCGTTCCGAGTCCCTCCACGGAGGTAGAGAAGAACCGGATATGTATTTATTTATTGATTTACAGCTTTTATATTCCGCCCTTCTCACCCCGCAGGGGACTCAGGGCGGATTACAGTGTACACATATATGGCAAACATTCAATGCCAATTTGACATACAAACATATACAGACATACACAGAGGCTATTTAACTTTTTCTGGCCGCCAGGGGAGCTGTCGCTTTCATCGTCCATCTGCGACGCTGATGAAGCACTTCCGCATTCCCTGCATGCTTCCCCGCTGGAATGCTTTGCTGGAGTCTTCTTTATGGCCTCATAAATCAGTTAATTTAGCCTCCCCACACTTTAAGGTGGTACCTTATTTTCCTACTTGACAGATGCAACTGTCTTTCGGGTTGCAAAGGTCAACAACAGGCTACACACAATTGGTTGGAAACCCACTCCAACCCGGGCTGGCTTCGAACTCATGACCTTTTGGTCAGAGTGATCTCAATGCACCTGACACTCAGCCAGCTGCGCCACAATCCCGGTGCTAAAAGTTATAAATAAATAAAATCAATAAATACCCTGAGTTGCATTGATGTAAGGAAAAGAAGTGAAAAACAAGTCAGGAGGCCTGCACCACAGGGTTCCCTCTGTCCTTAATTGCTCTATAGACAAGTGTGGTGGTTCTTCCCTTCCAACATGGGTTTCTGAGTCCATTTTTGCAGTAGAAACACAAGTTTGCTTGTAGTTTGGGAGCTCAAAATTGCTTCTGTGGGCATTCCAGGTGTTTTTGCACATCCCAGGCCAAGAATAAAATGCAAGAGAAAGGGGAAGGTGACCTCATGACTTGAACCGAGGTGCTGAGACATGGAAGTGGCTTCCAGGGTTGCATGTTGATTAGTGATCACTAATGCTTCCTCTTCATCCTGGAAAGAAGTGACAAGTGGAGTGCCACAAGCAGGGTTCTGTTCTGGGCCCGGTCCTGTTCAACATCTTTATTAATGACTTAGATGAAGGGTTAGAAGGCAGGATCATCAAGTTTGCAGATGACACCAAATTGGGAGGGAGAGCCAATACTCCAGAGGACAGGAGCAGGATTCAAAATGATCTTGACAGATTAGAGAGATGAAGGGCCAAAACTAACAAAATGAAGTTCAACAGTGACAAATGCAAGATACTCCACTTTGGCAGGAAAAACGAAATGCAAAGATACAGAATGGGGGACAATACCTGGTGTGAAAAAGATCTTGGAGTCCTCGTGGACAACAAGTTAAACATGAGCCAACAATGTGATGTGGCGGCAAAAAAGCCAATGGGATTTTGGCCTGCATAAAGAGGAGCTAGTGTCTAGATCTAGGGAAGTCATGCTACCCCTCTATTCTGCTTTGGTTAGACCACACCTGGAATATTGTGTCCAATTCTGGGCACCACAATTCAAGAGGGATATTGACAAGCTGGAATGTGTCCAGAGGAGGGCGACTAAAATGATCAAGGGTCTGGAGAACAAGCCCTATGAGGAGCGGCTTAAGGAGCTGGGCATGTTTAGCCTGAAGAAGAGAACGCTGAGAGGAGATATGATAGCCATGTATAAATATGTGAGAGGAAGCCACAGGGAGGAGGAGGGAGCAAGCTTGTTTTCTGCTTCCCTGGAGACTAGGACGCAACGGAACAATGGCTTCAAACTACAAGAGAGGAGATTCCATCTGAACATGAGGAAGAACTTCCTGACTGTGAGAGCCGTTCAGCAGTGGAACTCTCTGCCCCGGAGTGTGGTGGAGGCTCCTTCTTTGGAAGCTTTTAAACAGAGGCTGGATGGCCATCTGTCAGGGGTGATTTGAATGCAATATTCCTGCTTCTTGGCAGAATGGGGTTGGACTGGATGGCCCAGGAGGTCTCTTCCAACTCTTTGATTCTATGATTCTATGAAATAAATAAAATACCCTGAGTTGCATTGACGTAAGGAAAAGAAGTGAAAAACAAGTCAGGAGGCCTGCACCACAGGGTTCCCTCTGTCCTTAATTGCTCTATAGACAAGTGTGGTGGTTCTTCCCTTCCAACATGAGTTTCTGAGTCCATTTTTGCAGTAGAAACACAAGTTTGCTTGTAGTTTGGGAGTTCAAAATTGCTTCTGTGGGCATTCCAGGTGTTTTTGTACATCCCAGGCTAGGAGTAAATGTAGGAGAAAGGGGAAGGTGCCCTCATGACTTGAACCGGGGTGCAGAGACATGAAGTGCCTTCTAGGGTTGTGTGTTGACTAGTGCTCACTAATGCTTCCTCATCTTGGAAAGAAGTGACGAGTGGAGTGCCACAAGCAGGGTTCCGTCCTGGGCCCGGTCCTGTTCAACATCTTTATTAATGACTTAGATGAAGGGTGAGAAGGCAGGATCATCAAGTTTGCAGACGACACCAAATTGGGAGGGATAGCCAATACTCCAGAGGACAGGAGCAGGATTCAAAACGATCTTGACAGATTAGAGAGATGGGCCAAAACTAACAAAATGAAGTTCAACGGGGACAAATGCAAGATACTCCACTTAGGCAGGAAAAACGAAATGCAAAGCTACAGAATGGGGGACGATGCCTGGCTTGAGAGCAGGACGTGTGAAAAGGATCTTGGAGTCCCTCATGACTTGAACGGGGGTGCAGAGACATGGAAGTGGCTTCTAGGGTTGTGTGTTGACTTGATCCAAGAGTGAGAGAGAAGCCTTCCTCCTGGGCGTGCTGGGTTCTGCGAGCCCTGCCTTCCATCGAGAGCCAGCCCGATGCTGTGACCCGGAATAGATCTGAAATCAGCTTTGCCGACTGGACTGGTGTGCGTTTTAGGTCAATGACATCTTAGCCCTGACTGTTGTTTCGAAGGCAGGGGATCAGATCACAGCTCGAGACGCTGTGCCGCTTCCTCCCAGCCTCCGTACTCCTCCTCTTTATCAATTTCTTGTGGGTTGTAAAGAATGTTCCTTGCCTTGAATGGGGACGCGATTCTGGACGTCGTCTCCTCCTCTTCGGAGGCCGGCATGTGAGTGTCGCCGTTGCCACCCCCGCATGCTCCGCTTCTGTGCGCTTCATTGTCTGTGCGAAAGCTGAGCCCGCCACCAGGCATCCGTCAGGGCACCATATCTTTTAATTTCTTTGAGTTGCGTTGCATTTCTTACTTTACTTTTTATCTTTTTGTGTTTTTGTGTGTGTGTCTTATTTTGTTTTCCCACCACTGCCACCTCATCCCTTGCGTTTCCCCCCTCTAAGACCATCGTGCGGGGCAACAAAACGGCCAAGGACGGCTCCCTGGCTTGGTTGCTGGATGAGTTTGAGAACATGTCGGTGTCGCGCTCCAATTCCCTGCGGAGGGACAGCCCCCCTTTCCCTCCCCGGCATGACCAGCTCTACCAGGAGAACGGCCTGATTGAAGCCAGGCCCCATCACTATCACCATCACCAAGAAGACGCCGGCGGAGGCAGAGGCAAGGAGTTCAAGGAACGGAACCGGCACTCGGCGGAGCAAAGCCGAGAGCCGCGGAGCAAGGACGACCGCGCCCCCGGCAAGTCTCACCAGCCCCCTGGCCACCATCGGCCACCGCCTCCCGAGTACCACAACAAGCCCGCCCCAGACCACCACCACCACCGGAACCGAGACGGGCGGAAGGAGCCCCCCGACCGCGTGGTCCGGAGGGAACGCCCCGACGTCCCCGACAAACGGCCCAAGTCCTCTTACACGGGCGAGGCCAGCCCGCAGTCCCCCCGGGAGAAGCGGCCCCTCTCTGGCCCCAATATCCGCACCCCCAACATCCCTGTCTCGGAGGGGGTCATGAAGACGGCGCAGCAGACCGGGCGGCCTTTTAACACTTACCCGAGAGCGGACACGGACCCTGTGCGGGGCGCTCAGGTAATCATTTCCCTCCCCTCTCTCGGTGCCGTCAAAGGACCAAGACTCTTTTCTAACAGCCGCTTGGCAGAGGACTCTCTCTTCGTAGTCTGGGTGGCGGTTTGTGAGTCTTTTCGGCACTTTTTCCTCCCTCTGCAGCTACAATAGTCTCAGGTGGCTTCTCTTTGCTCGTCCCTGTCTTCTTTCTGCTCCATTCATCCTTCGCACCGTTCTTCCTTGTTGTGTCACTCACCACCTTCCTGTAGGGCAGAGCTTTCCAACCATTTTATGTTGCTGGCACACTTCTTTTTGGCACACATCGTTTGGTCACACAGACACTCAGTTTTACTCACAAACCAAGCCCTTATAAAAGATAAGGACAGATATCTAAACCAGTGGTTCCCAACCTTTTTTTGATCAGTGACCACCTTGACCAGGGACTTTGACCAGGGGCCACTTTGACCAGGGGCCACTTTGACCAGGGGCCACTTTGACTAGGGGCCACTTTGACCAGAGGCCACTTAACCACGGGCCACTTTGACCTGAGGCCCCTTTGACCAGGGACCACCTAGACCAGGGACCACTTTGACCAGGGACCACCTAGACCAGGGACCACCTTGACCAGGGACTACTTAACCAGGGACCACTTTGACCAGGGGCCACTTAATCAGGAGCCACTTTGACCAGAGACCACTTAACCAGGGGCCACTTTAGGGGCCACTTTGACCAGAGACCACTTAACCAGGGGCCACTTTGACCAGAGACCTCTTAACCAGGGGCCCCTTTGACCAGAGACCACTAGACCAGGGACCACTTTGACCAGAGGCCACTTTGACCAGAGACCACTTTGACTAGGGGCCACTTTGACCAGGGGCCACTTTGACCAGAGACCTCTTAACCAGGGGCCACTTTGACCAGACCACTTAACCAGGGGCCACTTTGACCAGGGGCCACTAGACCAGGGGCCACTTTGACCAGGGACCATCTTAACCAGGGACCACTTTGACCAGGGGCCACTTTGACCAGGAACCACTCTCCAATATTAGTACCAAAAGGGTTACGAAGCAGTTTTTGCTCAACGGTTTGATTATTTGGGGGTGCTGATTCAGAAAATTTCATTGGATAGACCACATCAGCTCTAGTTTCTGATACAGAACCTATGCCATCCAGTAGTCAAAGTGGCCCCTGGTCAGAGTGGCTCCTGGTCAAGTGGTCTCTGGTCAAAGTGCTCACTGACAGAAAACCATATTTAATAATCTAGAACTGATGTAGTAGTAGTTATCTTTCGTGGGTACTCAACCTCTCCCCTCCCAACATCCCCGTTGCCTCGGCACAATAAGAGGGTTTTGCGAGACCAGTTGCTCCCATTGCCACGTGGTTCCGAGGCAACGGTGTAGTAATGGTGAGGCTGCAGACCATATTTTCATTCTTGCAGACCACTGGTGGTCCACAGACCACAGGTTGGGAACCACTGATTCTTAAACTGTAATAATGACGTGTATGGGGACACAACACATCAACACATAGTTCTGGGAATCTTATGTTTGGTTATTTCACCTAGACTCATGTATCTCCTAACGTTTGCACAACACACGGATGTGCCACGACCCAACAGTTTGGAAAGCTCTACTGTAGTGTGACCACGAATGCTTCTGCTAACCTGAGTGACTCCGAAGGAAGGCGCCACTTCTCTGCTTGTCTCTCCGCTGTGTGTCTTCTTCTTACAACCCTGCGCAATCCCTCCTTTCCTCCTCTGCAGTGCCTCCTCTTTCCGCCTCTCTTAGTAGTAAATCCTGAAGCATTGCAACCCACGTAGTTTGCTCTAAGACTTTGGACTCAACTGCTGTTGGATCTCTGAAGGCTTCTCCTGGCTTCCTGTCTTGTGCTCCTCCGCAGCCCTCCTTTCTCCTCGAAGACTTTGGCTCCATCCTTAGCCGCAACTTCTTTGTGTGTCCAACTCGCTACTAACACCTCCGCCTCGATCACTGTCGTCCCCACCTAAAACCAAACAGAAAACATCACTGCTCTCCTTCTCCTCTCTCTGTTGACAGCAGTGGTATATTTGTGTCCACATTGGGTAATTGGCATGGGCAATCCATGATTCTAAATGGTGCTAAAGTACTTACAAAACGAGGGGGTGCTGGTGCTTTGCTTCTAAAGTGTTGCTAAAGTTCTGGCAATGAAAATTTCATAACTCTAACAAAATTTCAAAACGTTGTTATAAATGGCAGTTCCTAATTGGTTCTGTCATAAAAAATCTCCAATAATGAAATAGTAATGACATTTTGAAAGTTTTGTTAGAGTTCCGAAATTTTCACCACCAGAACTTTAGCAACACTTTAGAAGCAAAGCACCAGCACCCCCTAGTTTTGTAAGTACTTTAGAACCATTTAGTAAAAAATCACCAATAATGAAATAGTAATGACATTTTGAAAGTTTTGTTAGAGTTCTGAAATTTTCACCACCAGAACTTTAGCAACACTTTAGAAGCAAAACACCACTGCGCCCTAGTTTTTTATGTACTTTAGAACCATGGATTGCCCATGCCTATTGGGTAACGCTCTCATGACGCTACCGAGGCCTCATTTGGCCCCACCATTGCGTGTGTTGGTCTCGTATGGTCGCCAAGTGGGTCCAAAACTCAGTTTTAAAGCACATACTTTTCATGTATTATATGTGTTGTTGAAGGCTTTCACAGCTAGAATGACTGAGTTGCTGTGAGTTTTCCAGGCTGTATGGCCATGTTCCAGAAGCATTCTCTCCTGACGTTTCACCCACATTTATGACAGGCATCCTCAGAGATTATGAGGTCTGTTGGAAACTAGGCAAGTGGGGTTAAAATTAATACAGGCTTTCATGGCCGGAATCATTGGTGTGCCATGTTCCAGAAGCATTCTCTCCTGACGTTTCACCCACATCTATGACAGGTGGGGTTTATTTATCTGTGGAATGTACACCGTGAGAGAAAGAACTCTTGTCTGTTGGAGGCAAGTGTGTATGTTGCAATTGGCCTCCTTGGTTAGCATTGAATGGCCTTGCAGCTTAAAAGCCTGGCTGCTTCCTGACCAGGGAATCCTTTGTTGGGAGGTCTTAGCTGACCCTGATTGATTCCTGCCTGAAATTCCCAGTTTTTGAGTGTTGCTCTTTATTTATGGTCCTGATTTTAGAGTTTTCTTTAAAAAAAATACCAATTTTGTTCATTTTCATAGTTTCCTCCTTCCTGTTGAAAATGATACTTTTGTTTGATGTTTGATATTTTGTCATATGTCTGATATAACAGATTCTGGGGTTTTTTTAAAATTTAATTTTAGTTGTTAAGTCATCATTGAGTTTTATATGCTGGGTTGCCAAATTTTTTACTTTGGGTATATTAAGGTTTATTATTATTATTATTATTATTATTATTATTATTATTATTTTATTGTTGTGTTTGGGCATTGAATGTTTGCTTTTTATGTTTGGAATCTGCCCTGAGTCCCTCCGGGGAGATAAGGTGGAATATAAATAAGGATTATTATTATTATTATTATTATTATTATTATTATTATTATTATTTTATCATTGTTGTTGTTGTTGTTGTTGTGTGTTTGGGAATTGAATGTTTGCCTTTCATGTTTGGAATCTGCCCTGAGTCCCTCCGGGGAGATAGGGTGGAATATAAATAAGGTATTATTATTATTATTATTATTATTATTATTATTGGGTGGAATATAAATAAGGATTATTATTATTATTATTTTATATTATTGTTGTGTTTGGGCATTGAATGTTTGCCTTTTATGTTTGGAATCTGCCCTGAGTCCCTCTGGGGTGATAAATTGGAATATAAATAAGGTATTATTATTATTATCATTATTATTATCATTATTATTATCATTATTATTATTGGGTGGAATATAAACAAGGATTATTATTATTATTATTATCATCATCATTATTATTGGGTGGAATATAAATAAGGATTATTATTACTATTATTATTATTTTATATTATTGTTGAGTTTAGGCATTGAATGTTTGCCTTTTATGTTTGGAATCTGCCCTGAGTCCCTCCGGGGAGATAGGGTGGAATATAAATAAGGTTTATTATTATTATTATTATTATTATTATATAGCGTGCAATATAAATAAGGTTTATTATTATTATTATTATTATTATTATTATTATTATTATTATTATTAATTTATTGTTGTGTTTGGGCATTTGCCTTTTATGTTTGGAATCTGCCCTGAGTCCCTCCGGGGGATAGGGTGGAATATAAATAAGGATTATTATTATTATTATTATTATTATTATTATTATTATTATATAGCGTGCAATATAAATAAGGTTTATTATTATTATTATTATTATTATTATTATTATTATTATTAATTTATTGTTGTGTTTAGGCATTGAATGTTTGCCTTTTATGTTTGGAATCTGCCCTGAGTCCCTCCGGGGAGATAGGGTGGAATATAAATAAGGTTTATTATTATTATTAATATAAATAAGGTTTATTATTATTATTATTATTATACATTATATTATATTATATTATATTATATTATATTATATTATATTATATTATATTATTGTTGTGTTTGGGCATTGAATGTTTGCCTTTTATGTTTGGAATCCGCCCTGAGTCCCTCCAGGGAGGTAGGGTGGAATATAAACAAGGTTTTATTATTATTACTATTATTTTCTATATTACTACTACTACTTTATTATTTTTCTATATTATTATTATATTTTGTTATTTTATTATTATTTTATTATTATATTATATTGTTGTTGTCCACATTCTTCTGAATTTTAATGGCTTCTCTGTGCAGTCTCACATGGCGGTTGTTCAAATGGTCTAACTAACACCTCCCAACAAAGGATTCCCCCAGGCAGGGTGTATATAGGAAGGGAAGGGATTGGCATTCAAGCCAAGTGGTCTCCATTGTCTCTTCTTACCGTCACCTGTCTTCTCTGTTCCTCTTTCCAGGGGGAGCATAGACCTGGGAAACCCCAAGAAACCGCTTCCAACGGCCCGCTGAGCGGAAACAGCAGCTCTTCCCGGGTGCCCCCGTCCGTCCCCCCAAGATCCAGGATCCCAGAGGCCCCCCACCCGGGACTCTCCCAGCACGCCTCGGACCCCCACTTGACACACATCCCGGCCCACCCGCCCTCCTACTCCCCGCCGCAGCCCCCTTTGGGCCCACCGCCTCAGCACCTGCCTCCGCAACCGCACCAACAACCGCCTCCTCCGGGCCCACCTCCCACAGCCCCCCAGCAGCAGCAGCACCAGCCCCGCTCCCCGCAGCGCGAGCCTCAGCGGGTCTCCCACGAACAGTTCCGGGCCGCCTTGCAGATGGTGGTGGACCCGGGCGACCCCCGCACCTACCTGGACAATTTCATCAAGATCGGGGAGGGCTCCACGGGCATCGTCTGCATCGCCACCGTCAAGAGCAGCGGGAAGCTGGTGGCCGTCAAGAAGATGGACCTGCGGAAGCAGCAGCGGAGGGAGCTGCTCTTCAACGAGGTGCGCACTGGGGGGGGGGGGGGGGGTGGGCTCACTCCTTCCCCCCCAATTCTAGGATATGGATACACCCCCCTGCATTGTGCATGCCTATCTACAGAGTGTCATCAGAGTAGACACAATCAAAGCACTCCCAGCAGATGGCCATCCAGCCTGTGTTTAAACACCCCAGAGATTCTCAAGCAATTACAGTAGAGTTGGAAGAGACCCCCAAAGGTCATCCAGTCCAACTTCCTTCTTCAGGAAGTAAGACACAATCCAAGCCCTCCTATCAGATGGCCAGCCAGCCTCTGTTTAAACATCCCAGAGAAGCAGGAACTATCAGACTCTCAGGCAATTACACTAGAGTTGGAAGAGACCCCCCCAAAAGGCCATCCAGTCCAAGCCCCTTTTGTTATACAGAAAGATAATCAAAGCATTCCCAACAGATGGCCATCCAGCCTGTGTTTAAACACCCCAGAGATTCTCAAGCAATTACACTAGAGTTGGAAGTGACCCCCAAAAGGCCATCCAGTCCAAGCCCCTTCTGCCAGGAAGTAAGACACAATCAAAGCACTCCTAACAGATGGCCATCCAGCCTCTGTTTAAACACCCCAGAGAAGGAGGAACTATCGGACTCTCAAGCAATTGCACTAGAGTTGGAAGAGACCCCCCCCCAGGCCATCCAGTCTAACCCCCTTCTGCTATGCAGAAAGACACAATCAAAGCACTCCCAACAGATGGCCATCCAGCCTGTGTTTAAACACCCCAGAGATTGTCAAGCAATTACACTAGAGTTGGAAGAGACCCCCAAAGGGCCATCCAGTCTAACCCCCTTCTGCTATGCAGAAAGATACAATTCAAGCCCTCCTAACAGATGGCCATCCAGCCTGTGTTTAATTACCTCCAGAGAAGAAGACTCTGTTGGACTCTCAGGCAGTCTATATTGCAATAGAGTTAGAAGAGACCCCCCCAAAGGCCATCCAATCCAACCTCCTTCTGCAGGAAGTAAGACACAATCAAAGCACTCTCAACAGATGGCCATCCACCCTCTGTTTAAACACTGCAGAGAAGGAGAAACTATTAGATTCTCAAACAATTACAATAGAGTTGGAAGAGACCCCCAAAAGGCCATCCAGTCCAACCCCCTTCTGCTGTGCAGAAAGACACAATCCAAGCCCTCCTAACAGAAGGCCTTCCAGAGTGTGATTAAAGACCTCCAGAGAATGAGATTCTGTTGGACTCCCAGGCAATCTATACACTTCCAACTAGAGTTGGAAGAGACCCCCAAAGGCCATGCAGTCCAACTCCTTTCTGCTATGCAGAAAGACACAATCAAAACCCTCCCAACAGATGACCATCCAGCCTCTGTTTAAAGACCTCCAGAGAAGGAAACTCTATCAGACTCCCAGGAAGCCTATATTACATTAGAGTAGAAAGAGACCCCCCCCCCCAAGGCCATCCAGTCCAACTGCCTTCTACCAGGTAAGGAGACACAATCCAAGTCCTCCAAACAGATGGCCATCCAGAAAACTTAGGAGCCAAAAGAGAAAGGGGTTGTAGGTTGCCCCAGTTTTGGGTTGGTTGGGATTTTGGGCTGCAAGCAGTGCTGTGGATTTTTCTATTCAAAAGCTTTCCCCAAGGCGTTGAGAAACCAGCCCTCCAAATTACTATTCTGTGCATTGAGTATCTCACCTTTCTCTCCGTAATGAAGACTCAGGCCTGTTCTTTGGACCCACTGAATTTTCCGATCCCTTTTTCAAAGGCAGCACATTGCAGCAATCCAAATGGGATTCATTCCATGCGCTGTATAAATATATTCGGTTTTTGGAACAGCTGGAAGCATTTGAACCAAAATATTTGATCAAGAGGAAGGGAATATCCCTAAGTAAATGTTTCGTGGGTTGAAGTGAACTCAAAGCTTTGCTTGGAAGTTGTTTTTGTGGAAGGCTTTGAAATAGGTTGGGATGTGAGACCTCAGCAGGGCGCCACTTGCACACATTGTTTACATTGAAAGGAAAGGAAGAACAGAACTGGGGGAAAGGTTAATATTCCAGTTTCAGCAGATCTTGAGCTATGCATTAGCATTTACTTTATTGTATACTAACTTGGGGACCCAGCATTGCCTTTGAAAAAGTCAGTTTCTTAATCCTACAAAATGCACAAGGTTGTGGGTGAACTAGAACTTCCCTCATGCCAGTTTCACCCCAAGAAACTCCATCAATACTTAAAAGTTTGTTATGTTGGTCAAGTTTACTGTAGATGCATTATGGGTGGGATTCAGTGTGCTCTCTGACTGCAGGGTGAACTACAACTCCCACTATGGTGAGTTAGTCCCCTCAAACCCTTACCTAGGTTGAGTTAGTCATGGAGGTTCTATGTGCCAAGCTTGGTCCAGGTCCATCATTGGTGGAAATCAGCTTCTCTGGTTGTGGGTGAACTATATAATTGGTGAGGTTTAATGCGCTCTCTGGCTGTAGGGTGAACTACAACTCCTACTATGGTGAGTCAGTCCCCTCAACCCCTTCCAGTAGGTTGAGTTAGTCATGGAGGTTCTGTGTGCCAAGTGTAGTCCAGGTCCATCATCGTGGAGATCAGCTTCTCTGGTTGTGGGTGAACTACATCATTGGTGAGATTTAATGTGCTCTCTAGCTGTAGGGTGAACTACAACTCCCACTACGGTGAGTCAGTCCCCTCAAACCCTTACAATAGGTTAAGTTAGTCTTGGGGGTTCTGTGTGCCAAGTCTGGTCCAGGTCCATCATCGGTGAAGATCAGCTTCTCTGGTTGTGGGTGAACTACATCATTGGTGAGGTTTAATGTGCTCTCTGGCTGTAGGATAAACTACAACTCCCACTGTGGTGAGTCAGTGCCCTCAAACCCTTACAATAGGTTGAGTTAGTCATGAGGATTCTGTGTGCCAAGTGTGGTCCAGGTCCATCAACAGTGGAGGTCACAGTTTCTCTGGTTGTGGGTGAACTACAACTCCCAGAAAGGAAGGTCATTTTCCCCCAAACCCCTCCAGTAATCAAATTCTGGCATATCAGGTCTGTGTGCCAAGTTTGGTCCAGGTCCATTGGTGTTTGGGTTCACAGTGCTTTCTGAATGTAGGTGAACTACAGCTCCCCCAAATCAAGGTGAATTTCCCCCCGAGACCTCCAGTATTTTTTGCTAGTCATGGGGGTTGTTTGTGCCAAGTTTGGTCCAATTTAATATTTGGTGGAGTTCAGGGTGCTCCTTGATTGCGGGTGAACTATAAATCCCAGTACCTACGACTCCAAAATGTCCAAGCTAATTAGATAGATAGGGCTAATAACTAGAGAGAGAGAAAATAACTAGGTATTTTTAATTACAAAATGTGAGTCAAGCACTAAAAGGGTTAAATTGATACATTGACTCAGCAAAAGCTGCAGTTCAATATAAGCAGGTGTGCCTGTAGCTTAGTAGCCCTCTGTGACAGGGCCTCGGTGGGAGAAAGACCTCAGTGTGTTAGTAGGCCTCAGTATGAGAGAGCCTCCGTGTTAGTAGGTCTCAGTATGAGAAGGCCTCGGTGTTCGTTCACCTCAGTGTGAGAGAGGCATCAGTCTGAGAAAACCCTCAGTGGGAGAAAGGCCTCAGTATGTTAGTAGGCCTCTAAGATAGAGCCTCAGTGTTGGGTCTCAGTGTGAGAAGGAATCGGTGTTAAATATAAGCATGTGTGCCTGTAGCTTAGTAGCCTTCAGTGGTAGTAGAGCCTCAATGTTAGTAGGTCTCAGTGTGAGAGAGGCATCAGTCCGAGAGAGCCCTCAGTGGGAGAAAGGCCTCAGTGTTAGTAGGCTTCAGTTTGAGAGGGCCTGGTGTGAGAAGCATTGGTGTGTGACAGAAGCCCTAAGCTGAAGGCCTTGTAAAGCTCCAGTGCGAAGGCTTCTGTGTGTAAAGAGCAACTGAGTGAAGCTCCTTGAAGACCTTGAAAGCTGCCCAGTTCAGCTATTGTCTTGCATTTAAAGGCAGAGAGAAGTCTCGTAGTGTGCTCTCTTCTATAAGAGAGCGGGATAAACTAAAGAATTCTGGAAGAAGAGGGAAGTAACCTTCAGGAAACACCTGTTTTCTAGGTCTTTATAACTCACACTACACCTTGAGTTATACAGAACGAGGAAACAGAGGTGGAAGCACAACAGCAGGTCTGCACCACAGGGTTCCCTCTGTCCCCAGTTGCTCTCTGTGTACGAGTGTTGATGCTTCTTCACTTTAAACACATGGCATAATATTTACGCTGGGTGTCAGGGGAGAGCATCCAGAGAGCGCATCGATATTGCAGAGGGATGCCAGGAAGAATTAAAGCCTCTCCGTTGCACTCTCAGCCTTCCTGCATAAGCAGTTCCCTTTGAGAAGTGGTTCCCCTCTTCACACTGAAGCACGGGAAACGGAGGTGTCTTGAAGCACGCCCTTCAGGACAGCGCAAGGGATTCATGGCAAATCCTGCTTTCTCAGAGTATCCTTGACAGCTTAATTTCCTGCAATCGGTTATCTGGAGGAAAGGCTCTGCGACTGTTTTATTTGGCAAGCCAAACCAGAGGAGCACTTCAGGTTTCCCCAGTTGACCTGTGAACAGTTCAGATCCCACCTTCGTAACGAAGGACATTAGGCCCCTGGGACCTCAAAAGTGGCCTCTGCCCAGCCCTGTTCCAGTGGGAGAAAGGTCTCAGTGTGTTAGTAGGCCTCGGTATGAGAAGGTCTCGGTGTTAGTTGGCCTCAGTGTGAGAGGCGTTAGTCTGAGATAACCCTCAGTGGGAGAAAGGCCTCAGGTGTGTTAGTAGGCCTCAGTATGAGAGAGCCTCAGTGTTAGTAGGTCTCAGTATGAGGAGATCTCGGTGTTAGTTCACCTCAGTGGGAGAAAGGCCTCAGTGTGTTAGTAGGCCTCAGTATGAGAGAGCCTCAGGGTTAGTGGGTCTCAGTATGAGAAGGTCTCGGTGTTAGTTCACCTCAGTGTGAGAGAGGCATCAGTCTGAGAGAACCCTCAGTGGGAGAAAGGCCTCAGTGTGTTAGTAGGCCTCAGTATGAGAGAGCCTCAGTGTTAGTAGGTCTCAATATGAGAAGGTCTCGGTGTTAGTTCACCTCAGTGTGAGAGAGGCGTCAGTTTGAGAGAACCCTCAGTGGGAGACAGGCCTCAGTGTGTTAGTAGGCCTCAGTATGAGAGAGCCTCAGTGTTAGTAGGTCTCAGTATGAGAAGGTCT